TACAGAGCTACTGCATGGTAATACAAGCCTCTTCTTTTTATCAAACAGGCAATACTTAGCAAGTGCTTAGCAGCGCTATACGTGAGATGTTGTTCCAAGGCAAGATATGGTTACGAGGCCAGGATAGGTAAGGTTCACTCCTTACAGGAACGAGGTGTGCCATCAGAAATCAAGCGTGTTCCCTCCACCCCCTAAAATATTCCCTCCCTTTATTGCCATTTCAATCTGATATTTGCAAGGCGGCACCCCAGAGAGAAGGTATGCTCTCCACATCCTTACCAGGGGAGGAAGCAGCAATTACCAAGGGCATCACCACGTGGAGCGTACAAACGGCTGCAGGAATGTCCTTATCTGGCTGTTAAGAACCTGGATGTGCAAGGGCGTAGAAGTCTCACTCCCCCAGCAGCAACACTGCAGATTTGAGCTGCCAAACTGGCTCCTTATCGGGCACTCCACGGCTCCAGTCAGTAAGCTATTTGGATCAAACCTCATTCGCATCAGTTCTCAGAAGGCTGCTAGCCTCAAGAAGCAGCCTGCCTTTTTTCTTATTTTAAATCAGATTTCTTTTATTTCTTCCAATGTCATCTCACTAAAATTCCTGTGCTAAGATCAAAGGCTATGGCTGGACTCACCTCGCATCCTGCAATAACAATCCGCCAACAGCAAGAGGAGTTCACCTGACAAACGGAGCTGAGTTAGCACAGCCTTGAACACGCACAATCCTTGGCTCACAGATCATTTGCACTACAAGTCACATGCCACATTGAAAAAATCTACCATGTGTTAGCTAGAAAACACACCAAGGGCTGTTTCCAGAACACTACAGCGAGGTGTGCATGAACACCCTTCAGGCACGTTCACTTTTATTTGTGTCAAGTGAGGTTTTTTTAACACTGACATTTGTATTTGTGTGTGGCGTGGGTATTTGACTACTTTCAAAGGTAAGCATTTCAGAGCTGGCACCATGAGACTGAACTGCAGAAGATGGCCAAATTTATACATGGCCCCAAGTACGTAATATTTACCTGCGAGGAACGTCCTCATGCAGCATGAGGTTGATGATGCACTCATACCACTCTTTTCACAGAGGACTTTTTTTCTTTGAATCCTCCTTTTCTTCAAAATGATTCATATCCATCAGCTACCACAAAAATGCTCAAAACTCAATACCCTTACACAAATTCCGCAGTCTTGGCAATATTTCTACTTACTTCTGAAAAGCACCGGCTGACTCAAGCCCTCTCCATGCACGTAGGTTAGAGCACACCACACGTGTCTTTCCAGAGCAAATAGTTGAAAGCCTTCTCACAAATCCCAGCACAAAGGCTGTCAAACACTTTGGGGTGGAGTGCCGATTCTTAGTGCCAAACTCCGGCAAAAAAAATTAAACAAACTTCAATAAAACAAGGTCACAACTAGTAGAAACAAATGGTACCATCTTCACATACACCTCCTTTTGCCACGCTGGCCTCACCCTTTGGTGAAAACCTGGAGACAGTTACAGCGGGAAACAGACGACAACCTGAAAATGAAGGCTGGCCAAACAGCCAAGAAGAGTGCTTTGATCCTCCAAGGCATCTCTTGAGTTACATGGAAAAGCTGCCCATGGAGTATCCATTCTCTCAGCGTTGCTTTCCAGGTGCCCTTCATATCCCTCATTTAGCACCTCCACAGCTCTCAACCCATCTCTGTTGATTAATTGTCTGCTCTCAGCCTTCTCCTCTCACCACTTTTCTCTCCATGTTTTGATCCTCTCCTTCACTCTGGAGCCCTACTCCATCAGAAGTCCTCCCAACCAACACTGACCTCTGCCTTCGAAGGGAGTCCCATAACGCCCTGCACTTCAGCCATCTTCTCAGCTAAGCCATCCAACTTCATGCTCAACACCTCTTGCCTTTTACCTCTTCTTGCCTACTTTTTTCTCCCAGCATCACCCTCTCAAGACAAAAAACCAGAAGCCCCCTTTCCTCTCTTTCCTGTAACCACAACTTTCTGCTCTTTTATCTCCTTGACTTACCTACCAGTCATGCTTCATCTAGCTCTCCCAAGGGTCACTCTCATGCTGTTTCCTATCCTGCTCTCCTCTGGCTTTTCCTTAATACAGAAGTACTATAACTGCCAAAACCCAACCTCATCCCACATGGTTTGCTCAATTTTTGTCTCCAAGCCCATCAAGAGAGCTACTGACAGCTGCTTCCCCAGCCCTCTCCACACCACCTCCCATACAGTTTCAACATCAGCACTTCAACTGAAGTGGCTCTTGCGGAGGTCTGCAGTGACATTATTTTACAGAGACTCCACAGCAAGGAGCTATCATGCTCCTGAGGGCTGGGAGCAGAGAGGACTGGTTCACACCCACCCTGCTATTTTCCCCAAAAATTTCAATTAGTACTTTCTCAGCTGTTTCCTTCTCCTTCAGCACTTATCTCCTGGCCCTCCGACATACAAAACATCTTTTCTATATGTCAAGTCCACAGGTTGTACCTCTCTGCCAGACCCTGTTACCTCCACTTCAAAGTCCGATATGGCAAAAAGATTGAAGAAAGACTATTTGGTAAGTTTAGTATGGCCAAAACAGCTGTTCTTCTTTCATCCTCTTCTTGTCAACACAAAATACGCCTCCATCCTAGTCTGCCACTGGAGCTTGTACGCCTCAGGACTATCATCAACATGCTCTTGATACCTCTCCAGCATGAAACATGGTGCCACACTGGACCTTGGTGAGAGGGTGTCTATTTGTATTCAGGTAACAGGTATTGATCAAGCCAAACTTCAACACCAAGATTTTTCTGTGTACTTTAAGAGTAGAAGCTACTGATAATATTCTCCTTCCGGAAAGTCTGTATTTTCAATCTTCTACCTGAGTGATCTGCTTCTCAAGAGCTTTCCTAAAAGGCCATGAAGCTAAGATACATCACATGCAGCAGTGAAGAAAAATGCAAGCATGAAAGCTATTTGCAATCTTAGGTACAATAAATTCCTGCAAGGCATCTACTCGAGGTAGCTCTCCTATCAGCAAAATGCCTCTCTTAGCTTTAACCCCTGTAGGTGAAGCATGTTTAAAAGAAAGTAGAATTTCCAAACTTTTTAGTTGTATTTATACCTTAACGCCACACTAAACCACTTCTCAGTCTCTACTGATGTGTACATTCATCTGGGACCAGATGAGAGATAGCCTATCGAAGGGAATTAGTTTACCATTCCCACAGCTCGTGCCGACTGAGCAGAGTAGCTTGCGGTACATCTCTAACCCACCTTAGGACCGTAGTGGTTAGATGTCACTTCAGATCACTAGCAGATGCGAACAGATTTTGCAAGATATACATCTTGCATGCATGTGACTCTACCCTGTGAAGCACATATAATATGCGTACTATTTTCACCCTGGGCTGTTTTCCAATCTCAAGCAAACCTTACAGCTATGACCTCTGTAGATCCCATCGTAACACAGATTTGGATATGAATAACACTGCCAGCGATAGTTTTAACAACCAAATCATCGCAACCAAGTACTGACATTGGGTAGTTTCCCTGGGTCAGAAAGGAAAGAGACCACAGAAGTCCACACAACCAAAGCCTTACCGCTATCCCAGCAAACTCTGTGACTCCAAAGCCAACCCAATGAAACCAGTTTTAATTCATTCAAGCAAACGCAGCCCATCATAACATGCCCAAACTTGAAACAGCAGAAAAAGTTTCCTTCTAGGATAAAACAAGACTTGGTTCACTAACCATGGATAACTAACACCAAAGTACAGATGGGAAAGCTCCTGTACTTTGAGGGACACTCTGTTTTAGCTTGGCACTGCAAAGGGGCAGCCTGCGAGACTGAGAACAGACCGCAGAAAGTTCTGCCTCATGTGATACTAATTAGAAAGACTTAATTTTCTTCATCAAGGTGCAGAACTCTGGAAAGAACAAAAGCTGCACATCTGCATGACACAGCTAAATCCAGCTGCTCGTACTTGCAGACCAGAGTCTCCTAAAATGCTACGATCGCTGCAGAGCCTGTCAGGGCAATGCTCCCAACCTTGTAGTTGCACAAACACTTGAGGCTATGAATGCTTTACTCCGAAGACAGCATGAGACAAAAGGTAATTTTTCGTGTTTCACATTGTGCTAAAGTGCAACTCGCCTCACGAGTGGTGCCACCATGTAGAGGATGTAACTTACTGGAGGGCTGGAAGTTATTCCACAAATAACTTTGTTATACATAGAATATGAAAGTTACTGAGGCTGAAGCAACGGATCACCACGCATTTTCCTGAAATACCTTGTTCAGTCCTCTCGAGTAATATTCAACTCAAAATAACCTGGGGTGGAATGGATATTTGGGTTACAGGCAGCAGTAGGACAGCATATTAAGTCTCAGGGACTAGTTCTGCAGGGAGGGAGGCAGGCAACCCACCTTGCCTCCATGCCAATTCCAGCCCAACAACCACCACCAACCTGCACGTTCAATACACAGGGCAATACGAGGGACCAAGCTTTCACGTTAGATGTAATAGAAAAACATTCTTTACTCTGCAAGTGTCTTTACAAATATATATTTATATATTTAAGCCCATTTCAGGCCATAAAAGCCCGTAAAAAACAACCAGTACCTTTTTGAACAAGAGAAACTGCGATCCAGAAGTCTGAGGTGAAAGACTCCCACACAAGGGCTGCTTTGGCGCTTCTCTGAAGGCCTCTATTTAGCACATAAAACCATCTTAAAAATCACATCAGCCTTTTATCTGAAAGGAGGGGCACCATTTTTACCCCACCTTTACTACTCTCTGTATGAGGTAAACTGGAATCACTTTCACATAATCACTTACTGCTTTAAAAAGGAGATATTGTATCCTGAAGACCAGCTTTTCCAAAAAAACATTCGTGAATGGGTTAAAAAAAGTAAGATGCCGCTTGTGGATCCAACCACAATGTGCTGTTGTCTCAAAATAGTAGAAGTTGATACTAAAAAGCTATTCCAGATACATACAAGTACAAACACTAGAGCTGGTCAGAAAGATTCAGTTTCAACATTTTAAAAAAAAAATTCTGTAGTGTGGCTTTTGCGTTAATTTCCCCTACCCTCACTTTTCTACCAGTTCCATATACCCTTCAAAAAAGTCACGTGTCTGTTGTAAGAGTGCAAAGTCCATCCAAATCTCGTGTTTTAAGTTCACTATCACTACACTTTAAAAATCCTGATGGCAAATAAAAAGGTCTCGATTTAACTTAGTAAAAGTGATATCTAGGAAAAATTCAACATTAAGAGGTCTTACAAAAAAAAACTTCAGACTACTAAGGCATTCTAAGGCACAGTGTTTTGGAAGAAGTGCTTTCTGCCTTTGGTGTTGCTTTATACACATCACGTGTGTGAGTCCGAGTGATGCATGGAGCTGCAGATGTATGCCATGCCTTCTCCCAATCAGTGAATTGAATCTTCTTCGGCAGTTTCAGACGTAGGCTCCCAATGCTGCATGAAATTCAGTTAGACACTGCACCAACTGCTGGAACTTGGGTCTTTCTTCAGGATCTAGGGCCCAACAGCAGGCCATCACAGCAAACCTGCACGACAAAGACAAACAGGAGATGTGAGAACGTAAGCCAGGCGACTGCCATCCCAGCCTGAAAATGAAAAACAGCATTTGCCACTAGAAAACTCGCTGACTCGAGAGAGAAAAGGAACCCTGTATCTTCTGATACGTGATGCTGAAGAACTCCTTCAGAAGACAAACACCTGGAATGATCAATAAATGTGCTGTGACTGGAAGTGTTGGTTTGATTTAGGATACGAGTCAGAGGCAATCCAGGAGGAAGCAATACACAGTGCGTCAGAAATTACTTAACTATTGCAAAAGCATAGTTCAAAGTGTTTCTGTGGCAGGTTTATAAGAAGGGAATTTGGAAGAATGCATGAGGCAGAATGTATAGCCTGTGCCCCCTGCATTCTCCTATACCACTGGGATTATGAATAAACACCTCAAGCACTGCTGTTTAACTCCATTACACGCAGTACTTCTCCATAGTGTTGCTGAGAGAACGGACATTCCCTCTACCTACAAAGCTAGTGGCTTCCTACACTGCAGCCCCATAAACCCTAAGCTGAAAACCCCTGGCCCCTTTGCCTTCCTCCTCCCACCCTGCTGATCAACCTCATTTCTCCCATGTGTCATAGTAAGGAAAAAAGTTGGGTCAGGATTAAGTGAAACTCAACAACAACAAAAAGCATTTAATTTTAACCCGAGTTCCTTGACGTAGGTCACTGAAGCCACACAAATACTTACACGATGGTTTGTCTCAAAGGCAGAATAAACAGGCAGGGGAAGGCAAACCCGTCTTTTTCATTGATAAGGCTGGCTTAACATGTTGATTACAAAATAGACATTTTATTCTCTCTCCAAAAACATGTACTTACAGTTCATCAGGGCAGTTGATTGGCTGAGCTATTCGATAGCCATCCTTTAAATAAGCAGCCATCTCAAAGGGGTCGATATCGACATACGGAGTCTGTCCTAAAGTCATCAGCTCCCACAGCGTTACTCCAAAGGCCCACTAAAAAGAAATAGCATACAGCATTAATAGAACATGCCGAATTTTGAGAGCTCCTTCAGACGTTCCACAAAATCAGTCATAAATAAGACTACACAGAGTAAGAAAGTTTTACATAAATGTTATATATATCTCCAAGTGCAACATGACAATACTTTGTCTTGAAGAGGGATAATTAAGAATCACAAAACAGGTATTAAGTTGAACTAAAATTAAAATCTTAGTGCACTAAGCTTTAAGTGCTAAAAAAAAAAAAAAGATCATGTATTTACTGCATTCTTCCAGTATGACATTTCAAAATATTTCAAAATACTTAACAAGTCTAAGGAATACTAAACACTAAACCACTGTTTTGAAAAAATTAACAATTATATTACACGTCTGTGAAATTCCAGGGTTCAAGAAAAGCAGACTGAATGAAACCATTTTTTAAATCAAAATCATCTGTATATTTTGAGTTTATGCTCAGAAGTAGTACTCATGAGAAAAATAAAGATTTCATCTAAGTAAACCTGACAGCTGGATCAGCATTCAACACATTCAGCCAACAATACTTGCCAAAAGGAGCTTAAGGTGATTAAAAAATAAAAAAAATAAAAAAAAAATCAATCAATTCATGTGCAAGCACAGTACAAGTAAAATGATTTACTAGCTGGTACCAAGAGACGAAACATAGATGGTGCTGATACTGTACACTGGTGATTCATTGCGGAAGTTACAAGCGCTGCAAACATCATGATTAATTAAAAACGGGGGGAATTCTACAAGCCTTGAAAGATTCTTGGTTTTAATCAAAAGAAATCCTGCCCCACCCACCTCCTCAACCAAAGCCTTAACTAAGGGATGCTGTCAGTGGCCACTGATGGGAAGCTCAGAGCTGGAGAATGGCAGGGGTACAGATGCGGCCCTGCTCTGAACAGCCATCTATTAGCAGTGTGAGATGGCAGGGGAGGACATCCTTTTTACTGGCAGTGAAGAAAAACGATGAGGGACAAGTGGTGGTGCACCTAGAAGAGGAGAATAAAGGGCGATTCAAGCAAAACTACTCTGAGAATATAGGTATTTCTAATTCCGTAAGTAGCAGTGTAAAGATGGCATAAAGAGATGCAGAGCTTCATGTTCCAACAGATGGGAAAATGCACAGAATTAAAACTCAACAGGAATTGTGTTTTGTTTTTCTACGCTTTGGCTGACTGATATAACTGTTGGCAGAAGAAGAACACATTAGGAATGTTTCAAGCCAGCAAAACCGTTTTAAAGAAATGCATCCAAAAAGCAAGCCTAGAACACATGCCAATTGCATCTTAACAGACACCACCAAAATTGTTTGTAAGAGATTTCATCACTGATATAAGTTACATGCAATCGATAACTAGATTTGTTCCTAGCAAGTATACAAAAACCATATTACACCATATTTGTGAAAAGCATCCAGGTAAATGCACAGATGATAGTTAGGGCAGATACTGTTTTCTGCACCAAGAAAACCTGTCCATTTTTGCACACTGCAAAACCCAGATGGTTACTTGTGCAAAGTTAAGAACTACATATTAGAAGCTGAGTTGCATTTATCCCTATATAATGCAAAAAGGAGTTCTGTGTTAAAATAACATGGACTTTAAAATGAATTGCACTAGAGTTTTCTGAAATGGCTATGATACCGAGGTGCCTTCTTCCTAATAAAATTCTACATTTCACTGCCAGTGTTACATAAGCTTTTATTTCCAACTCCAGTCTTCATGAACAGTGAACGTTTTCATGTTCCAGATTAAAAAAAAAAAAAAAAAAAGAGTAAGAAATCAACATTTAATTGATCCCATTTAGTATTATAAAAACATGCTTTTACAGGCAACTTCTATTTCCTGTTCTGTCTTCAAGTTTGGTATAACACAAAACCCCACACATTTTCCAATGAGTACAGAAGTATTTCTGGAGCAGAGCCGATCAATTCCTTCTTTTTTTTTTTTGGTGGCTTGAGCACGACTACAGAAACCATGGCAATGAGGGGAAAAAAAAAAAAACAAAACCAAACAGAACCGTTCAAAAGCTTTCTAAACTAGCCCATTTTAAGATGCAGATGACAATCTCTGGATGTAGCATGTTAAGGAAAGCATCACTAACAAAGAAAATACCCCCTTAGCAGGAAGACACAGATCATAAGGGCAAGTGGTTTACTATTAATTAGCACTCTAATTACCACAGGTTGATCTTCAAGGACAAGCTCATGTAAGCCCAAGAACAGTCTGTTCTGATGGGCAGGAAGCTGAGCAAGCATGGTAGAAGGCCATCATGGATGCACTGACTAAGCTCGGACGCTAAGGTAGGGAAGAGAGGGTGGAAAACAGGAGAAGGCTACTTGAGGAATACAGGGAGAATGCATCGGCATGCCGGGATGGAGCCTGGAAAACCAAAGCTCAGCAAAGTTAAACAACTAAGAAATGCCTATAGAGAAAAAAAACATTTTGACTGCACGGAAGCCAAGTGCGTACACACCAGACCACTGTACCAGAGAGGGTGCATCCAAGGGTGCTGAGGGAGCAGGTTGAAGTCATTGCAACGCTGCTCTCATCGTCTTTGAAAGGCCACCACAATTGGGGAAGGTTCCTGACAGCTGGAAAAAAGGCACCCTCTTGAAGAGATGGGATCCAGGGAACGACAGGCCAAGTAGTCTAACGTCAGCTCCTCCTAATGTTAGGGAGCACGATATACTGGAAGTCACTTCCATGAGTATGAAACAAAGGTGTCTGGCAACAGCCAGCATGAATTTATCAAGGGCAAACTGTGCCTTCTTAGCTGAGAAAACAGTGTTAGTGGACACAGAGCGTGCAACGGATGTTCAACCTTGACTTCAAGCAAGGACTGTGACATCATCTTCCATAGCATCCTTATAGCCAAATTAGTGAGGTGTCGACATTAAAGTGGTTGTAACTGCTGGACTCAAATTGCCGTGATCAGCAGTACCAGGCCAAGTAGCAGCTGGTTACTAGTGGCACTGCTCAGGAATCAATACTGCTTTATCTTCATTAACAACCTAGGCTCTCGGAAAGTTTGCGGATGATGCCAATCTGGGCAGAGTGGCTGACAGGCTGGAGGACAGCGTTCTGCAGAAGGACCATGAAAAGCCGGAGAAATAGGCTGAAAGGAACCTCAAAATTCAACGAAAGGAAACAAAGTCCTGCATCTGGGAAGGCATAGCTCCGTGCACCAGGATTGGGGCTGACTGTCTAGAAAGCGGCTTTGTAGAAAAGGCCCTGGGGGTCTTTGTGAACAAGCTGAACGTGTCAGCAGCACGTTCCTGAAGCAAATAAGCTAGCTGCGTTCCGGGCTGTGTCAGCAGAGTGTAGCCAGCAGGACAAGGGAAACTATTCTTCCCCTCTTTTCTCTATCTGAGGGACTGCAACCAAAATACTCTTCAACTTGAGGCTTCCCAGTTCAAGAGAATACACTGACAATTTCATCTGTTGATCCCAAATTCAAAGCCCATCTCCCAGAGAAAATGTTCGCAAACCAGCACTATTTCTTTGCTCCTCAGTGGAGTCTGGATCACGTTCATTCAAATAGCAGACAAGTCCCAGTATAGACTGCTCACTGAATTTAACTGCCTTTTCTGCTAACACTACCAAGGAGAACAGGATGCAACAGACAATTTTGCCGTGCAAGAAGGACCTGCTTGACCTTTAAACTATCTGCCACAAGCAGAAAATGCAGGAAGCAGGCAGACAGATGCTGTTCTGCGCAAACCACTGTCATCTGTTCAGTGCCATGATTCTCCAACTGCTGAAAAAAAGGTTTTAAAGGGGAAAAGTGTCAACAATAGACATTTACAAAATGTAAGGGGGGGAAAAAAAAAATCAAACCAAACCAAAACCAGAACTTACCACATCACTAGCACTGGAAAATTCATTGTTAACCAGGCTTTCAAGAGCCATCCATCGAACTGGTCTGTTTTCATTATCTCCCAGGCAATGGTAGTCCATAGGAAATAGGTCTCGAGATAGCGCGTTGTCTGTAATCTTAACCTGAAGTGCATCGTCAATGCTAATTTAAAAGAACAGAAGTATTTAGCAAACTTGGCATTACAGTTTTACAAAGAAATATTTATGCTCAACCTTAAGTTTCAGACCTGGGATTTAACTGAGGAACACTAATCTCACCATCAGCATTTCAAAAGGACCAGCATTCTTCTAGATCAAGACACACTTATTCTGTCATTACCAAATATTATCAAAGAACATATTTATTCTGCGTTAACAGATAAGCAGAGAAAAATCAGCAGAGTAAACAAAATTAAACATTTACAAGTGCAAAAAACCCACAGTTAAAGCAAACAAACAACTCCCTTAAATTTTTCCTGCTCCCTTGGAGATTGCCTTTCAGATCAATTAAATGAATTTTTGCCATAGTATCTCTGTAGCAATAATGAGCCAAAGATTTAAGCAAAGCAAGATCTAATAATATCTTGTTAAAGCAAGCGATATTATTTGTGGCCTAAAAGCTTGTCTCTAATCAAGCAATCCAGTAAGATATTATTTATTCCCCTCAACAAGAGATATTCATCCTAACTGCTGTCAGAAATAGGATGTTGGCTAAAGGAAACTTCCTTTTAATCAACAAAAGATGACTCAAAAAGCACACAGAGCCTACTGATTTTTCCCACCCCCCTCTGGGAAGATAACTGATATTCTTTTGAACTTAAAAAACCACATGTAATAAAGTTCAATGTTGTCATAAACAGCTGACTTCAGAATATGGGTGAGATGTTGGTTTTAACATCTTACGACAAAAACATAGAAATAACATTGGGTTAGGGGGATTGTAACAAAATGGTGTTTGCTGTCTTTTCATTTTGGCAAGTATTTCTTTATTTTGATGAGAAAAATTGAATAGAAATGCTCAATTTGCGTGCTTCCCGCACCACTATCTCAAGTACCTTCTCATTTATCCCATTTCTATGCACTTTCATAGTTCATTCCCCCGCAAAATGTATAGACCAGGAAATTCCCATATCTAATCACTCATAAGAGTTCAGAGAAATTCCTAGAAGTCCCATCTCTAAACAAATACACTACGAAGGGTAATTTCCCAGTGATTAGAGTGCTCTGACTTGTGTAATCCATACGCCCACTCTAACTGGACCCAACTGTGCCACAGGCACTTGAGACCAAAAGTATTTCCTCCCTTAACAAACCTGCCAGGACCACTACAATCCTGTCTCTCTTCCCAAAATTAGGGCAGAGGTACATAGGTCTGATACACTTCATATCAGCTCCTCCCACCCTTTCACCACACAGGAATAGACCTGGGGAACAAAGAGGTGGCAGAACAACAAAGCCCTTCAAGGGATCCTGGCTACTGGCACCTTCTTTTTCTCTTTACAAACCTATGGCTAGCCCAGGATTTCCTGCACTGCAGCACGGATCAGTAGATGCTCAGCTCCTGCCTGCATTCCCCATGGAAAAGGAGTGCCAGGCGCACCACGAATTGATTTTTATTGTCAGCACTCCGGATCACAGATACATAGCAACCAAAGTGAAGCTGGACTTTGTTCCAGGAGGGCAGGGTCAAGCTGTCGGGACTGCAGACCCTTCGCAGAGCAAGGCTATTAATTCACTGCACAGAAATGGGAGGCTGTCACAAGGGAAGTTTCCCCGGTACCGATACCACAGGATATATATAAATACATACACTACAGGTATCACAATTGCTCAATACGTTCACCAGAGTGGAAAAGCAATAGAAACTAGGAAGAGAGTGTCTAAGGAATTCTATCAAACTGAGCATCCTTACGTAGCGCAAGAGCCAGGAAAGAGTCTGCTGGACTGGCTTGGTGGCATCAGTTCAGAAGCACAAGGGATGGCTTCAGGGTAGATCCCACTGCTCCCTCCATCCCAGTGTTTGCTACACCAACAGCGCCTGGTGCCAGAAAAGAATATCCTAGGACAAGCATGAGCACTTAAGCATCTCCCAGTTTTCTCTCTCAGTCCCTGGGATGCAACATCAGAAGCTTTGCTGGTCCTGCTTGGGATGTTTGAAGAACTGGGCCAAAGACTGCATCTGAGAGGACCAAGTGGTTTTGTGGATAGAAGCACAAGGGACAAAAGTTGTAGCAGTAGTGACCGCTGACAACCCTGAGGGGTTAGGTAGGGAGGGAAGTCAGTCCAAATTTCAGGAGCAGCATCTATCCTCGTGTGGGGAACGTGACTCATTTATTGCTGACTATTGGCTATTAATCATTGAGCCAGACATGCAGAGCTCTCCTACAGACACCAGCAGGATGGCCCCAAGGCAGACCCTACACTGGAAGAGCATGCTGTCCATGAAAAGTGCAAAGACAGAAACCGGGTTTCCACTTCAAGGACGACGTGGGAACAATCAAAGCAAACCCCCAATCAAACACGGTTACAACAAAGTGGTTCAACAACTGTGCCTTGAAGATACTGGAGGGACTGAGGTCTTGAGGATCCTAGGAGGTATTTCCAACATATTACTGGAAAACATGTTGGCAAATAAGGAAAAACACAAAGGTGGCAAAAAGTTGAAAGATGGAAGCCAAAGAACAGTAACTGAGATAGTAACCCAGTCACTCCTCCTGCCTGGGCAACTGAGAAACCTGAAGATTTGGGAGCGTGCTCCAGTCTTGACACCCTTTCAATTGCAGAAGACAGGGCCTGAACAAAGCCTGTAGGTATTGCTAAGGCAAAAAGCCTCTCAGATTCCTCGTAATGCATGCCCCAAGGTCATCAAGAAGACATCGGCAGCAATTCTGAGAAACTAACTATTTTATCAACAATTTTTTCATAAAACAGACACAAGAAGAATCAAGCAAATGACTAGACCACAAAGTATTTTATTTTCTTCCAAAAATAAATGAAGCACTGTAACTGACGGAAGGCAAGATGTGCATTCATCCCACGTGATCTGATGATGATGTACTGTTTCATAAATGAAATTATTTATGACAAAGCAGAGCTCATCAAAAATCTCAAAATCACCTCTAATAGCCAATTTCAGGTCAAAGACTTTATCTTCATCAGTAGTTCAGTAACCACATTAGAGCTTACTTCATTGACCAACAACAAAAAAAACCAAACCTACTTCATACAAACATCTATCCATTGGTAAACAGCCAAAGATATTCCAAGTTTCTATTAAAGTTTAAGGGAAACTTTAATATTTTTCGAGCCTTTGAAAAAATCAGGATAGACAAAACCCAGCAAAAGTATTTACGATGAGGATATTCTGCTTTCTTGAAAATCATGCTTTCTGGTTCACCCTATGTTTAGAGGAAAAGAACTTCACTGACAAGACTATTCACCTAAAATTCAGAAAAAACCCAAAGAGCGGTATGTTCTGAAGGAGAGATCAGGTCAATTGGAGAAAGTCCATCCTAGCCCTAGCTACTGACCTAACATGACTGCACAATGACTCTACCCCGTTTAGTACTTACACACAGTTTCTAGCAGCCAGGTCTTTGTGAATGACCTCCCGTCTGGCCAAATAACTCATTCCACAGGCAATCTGAATAGCCATATGTACAAGATCCTGCTGGGAAATTGCCTGGAAGAACACAGAAGAAAAATCACTGCAGAACTGCAAGCCCTGTGCTTGCTACGTTAGTATTTTCGTTCTATTCTAGTGACCCTTTCCCTCACCTTTAGGGCTGATGCCTTCTAGTAGCATGTTACAGACACTCCCACCTGTTGAAAAACTTATGAAGACTCCTTATTTTAATTTTCAACTTTTTTTTTCCCCCTTCCCTTTTTTGACATGCCAGGGGCAAATGTTTCCAATTTGCAACTGCCACACTGCTATACAGATTTTCCTTGATTAGTGGTGAAGGTAGACAAAAATGGTCAATTTTACCCTTCTTACCATACTTTTTTACACTTTCCGTTTCCCCGGAAACCAACTCATTTTCAGGCAGCAGAGCAAAAACAGCACTCAAAATTCTTGTTGCTATTTATTGCTGAAAACTAGTATCAAAAGCTGTCGCTCCATCTACCTTTACAACTTCACAGCCCTATATAAATTCAACCCTTGCACATATTTATACCGCAGGTTCGCTCTTCGATTTCTACAGTGTTTCAGAAACTTCAGTATGTAGGTGGACACGCTGAAGTTGCAAGACTGGCGTTAAAATAAACCAAATATGAAGTTAAAACAGTAATAAACCAGTTTCTTCATTAACAGATTGTTATTAAGAACAATAACCATGTATTATTTCAGAAAACTCAAGAGTTCGCTTCAGGTATTTGTAGAAAAGTTCAGTCTTAAAGTAAGTATCTAGGATGCCAAATGCTCCATTTTTTGATAAGTACAGTCATACCTATTTACTAAGGGGCAACTCCTGTTTGGCATAAGAGAGATTATAAATACCTTTTCTGCTTAAATTCTTAGAAACGGGTAATTGGTGCATTGCATAGGCATTTGTAACTCAGATTAAGCAGCAAAACAAGTAAAATCAAAGCTGAAAGATCCTAGCAGCTTATCACAACAATTAACAGAGGTAGGTGGTCCTTGCTAGTTTGAAATCTGGTACGTAACAGGGACAATTGCCAACAAGATTTCATTTTGTGCTGGATTTAGCCTAAAGACAGAAGTCAAACCAAGGTGAAGTCGAAGAAAATACAAGGCAATCCTAACAAGAGGGATAGTTGTAATACATATACACATCCACCACTAAACACTCAGATTTTTAAAAATATGCAAAATATGTTCTCCTCCAGAAATATTTTCTTTCTCACTTCTCATGATATATATGCAACAAGTTCCACTGAAACACAGTAAAGTTGTGAATGCTGAAGAGCACCCACAGCAGTAAAAAAAACAGATTGCTTCCTTTAGTATCTAAATAAATCCAGTTATTTTATTTAATAACAAATCTATTGCAGCACCATAAAAGTTTACCAGAAGTGCTTTATGCTTACTATAAAATAATTAACTACAGTAAGTAAAGGGATGATCTACTAATTATACAAAAGAAAAATCAGCAGGTGCGAAATTTCTCCATACAATTTTCCCCTGTGTATTCTAACTGAAATCCACAATCACACACCATTTTCTCTTTTTTTTTGAATTTTTTTAAGATGTATTGATATAATATCAGCTACTGCCCTAATCAGAGTTTAACTCAGCTTCATGCCCTATGAACATCCACAATAAACACAGCCAAGAATGTTTTCCTTGTATCAATCAAGACAAACACTTGCTAAGGAACCTGCTTGCCAGTTCTCTCCTTGTCATAACAGAACAAGTGAATACCACAACTATTTTTTTAAGGCATATACACAGATGACAAACCAAGTTGAAGTTTAATGGGCAAGAAATCACAAAATTCTGAGTGTACCTGAGGATTGTTGGCCTCTACCAGCTTGCACTGTCGCAAGAATAGTTTAAGGTTCCCCCAGTTCATGTACGGCAGCAGCACCATTGGTTTCTCTCCCTCTTCTATACAGACATGAGTGATAGGTAGCAGATTCCTGGAAGGCAGGGAGAGAAATTCCTAAGTCTTTTACGAAACCGAAATTTGATAAATAAAAAATAAAATAAAACAAAAAAATCTTCTTGATCCCTAAACACAGTAAGTGAAAGTAATTCACTGAAGAAAAGCGTTAACCTGGCATTATGAATATCAGAGCACAAGACCTCCAAATATCTGAAGCCCTAGACACAAAAAAAGAGAGAGATTTGAGTACTCCCCCCATTAGGGAGAACCCTCCAAATTTTTTCACTTGGTCCAAAAGGGCTGAAATAAATTTCCGTGAATATAAGTTATCATTTATATTAAAAAGTGATATATCTTCAACTTAGAAGTGTATCATTCTAAATGCAACTATAGATATAAAATATATAGCTTCAATACAGAGCGGTTTTAAAAAAAAAGTCAAAACATCACATTTGATTCACTTCAAAATGACAGAACAGAAATTTTTACTTTTGAATCAACTAACATTAAACTGCACTTTAAATGCAGAAGTATCTCAGGAGTTTTACCACAGACGTTTTAGAATCATAGAATCATTTAGGTTGGAAAAGACCATTAAGATCATTGAGTCCAACCATAAACCTAAAACCTAACACTGCCAAGTCCACCACTAAACCACTTTAAAGCTCCCGTCCAACCCTCCTTATGGCTCAGGTAACCCCCATCCTGCATTGTTTCTAAACATCTTTCTATCATATCAACATCGAAATTTGTAGAAACTTGAAACAAACTGGTTATAGAGCTTCAATTTTCCATGAAACGTTTTTTTAAAAACTGTATCTTCTATTGAAAACACATTAGTAGGTCTTCACTGAGTTATAATCATTTTTAAAAGGGAACTTTGAAATCTCCTGTTCTTAACTGAAGATGTCCAATAGTCAGGTGTCACACCCATGAGCTCTACATACCCATGTAGTTCTACCTACGATCAAGACAAAGGTCCCAGCCTTATAAGCAGTGTACAGAAGAAAAGCTTTTGGGACTTTTTAAAGTGTTTGACTTGTAAAAGGGAGGATAACAGCTGATTTTGAATGATGAGAGGGGGGTGGTTTCATTTTGTTTCAATTTTAAGTATGTTTCCCCAAGAACCTGCTGCTACTCTTAATACAATCCTGTATTTTAGGCAAGGTCTTAACTATAACACCTCTGAGAAAAGCAACTTTTAAATGCACTGTAGAGCTAATAATTCTGCTTGAACTATTTTCACTTCCTTCATATTAGCAGTAAAAAAAGGTCAGTTACCAGTCTAGGGACTTGAGGATGAGCATAGTTTTCTTCTTACCTGCATCCTTGCCAGTAATGAAGATCTTTAAGGCCTACTTCAGCCTTTAATCCAAGCTGTAAAACTGCCACTAACTCAAGCTGTTTGGGGCATCAATTTTAAAAAAAACCTTAAGCCATCACCCCCCAAAACCATGCCATTAATTCTTAAGGAAAAAACCCACCAGTGATGTTACGATGCCATACCAGGACAAGATGTGTGCAAGAGTCTTAAAAAAAAGCATTTCCTTGTGTCCATGCGGGACGGTACCTAATCACAGTACTTTTCTATGCCACGTAGAAAATCATGAACAATACAAATCAGATTAGTAAATTATCTAAACTGACAATCGTCCTGCATATAGACTTATTCTCGTCATATCTAAGATCCCACCACATTTAACATCTAGCCTGTGCAGGAACCAGCGTAAATCAATACGTGCCTGCAGCACCTTTATTCTGTAATAACTAAGAACATATAAATGGAATATCTACCCATATTTCACTGTGAGGCTTGGAACACCAAACCAAAGACTTTCCCCATGTTCCCACATGCTGCTACCATATGATTTTACAGACTGTGCAGCTAGGAGAAAAGCTTATAAGCACTCGTTGCAATAAGAAGCAGATCTAGAATTCTGTATTTGTATTTGAAAGTGACACAAAAATAGTTTCAGCTCTTTAGGGCTTAAAAAAAAATATTTTAAACATACAATTGCTGAATTTTGAAAAAATTGTTTCTTCTCCCCCTAGGTAGCTTTAAACACAAGTATTTTCAGCTCTCACAGATAAAAATTTGCTTATAAACACTGCTTAGCTTACCTGTGATGAAGTCCTCTGAGTTTACAGCTTTCAGTCAGCATCATTGTCACCTGTACCTCTGAGGCTTGATCTAACAAAAAAAAAAAAACCAAACAAGGAACCTCAGATATAACTTAGGAAACAGATGAACATATTAATTAAAATTTGGTCCAGGTCTGCAAGTCAGTTAAGCAAGTCATTTGAGCACAAACAGGACTTGTTTGCCTACTTTTTTTAAATGGAATTTAAAAACCTCCAAACAAGTAGGCCAAGTTCTAGGGCATATTTCTGCTTAAACAAATGGGCTGAAGATGAAAAAGGAAATAAAACACACTCCAGGTGCTGACAGACTGTACTTTTGCCACTTCCTGACAGCTTCTGGGCAGGGATGAACCGCCTGCACTAGGCAGCATGGGTCACATCCTGCACATGGGGCCGGTGCTGCTGGCAGAAGGGAGCATGCCGTGTGTTCCCCAAAAGCATAAAACACCAGTTCACTGCTGAATTACCAATACAGAGTTCTGCAGACTACTGCCATGCTGATGGAGACCATTTATTTCTAGATTTACTTATTTACTGCTCTCTACTTGAAACACTTGACTCTTGGTAACCTTAGAAATGTTTACTGTTCTCTTCCCCACCTTTCAAAAAAAAAAAAAAAATAAAAAATCACTGCTGCCAGCTAAAATTCAAGCATGTGTGATAACTCCAGTAACCCACAGCAATCAGAGCATCTACTGGGCAGAAGTAGAAGTGTTGCCTGTAACCCATTCCCCATAAATATTTTTGTGTTTGGGATGTTTGGTTGGGTTTTTTCCCCCTTCTGGTGGCAAGAAGCAAGAGGGAAGCTCTCACAATCCCACCCTCCTCATACCTGGGTGTATTTTCTGTCCCTCCTTCGTGCTAGAACAAGTACCAGTGTGCTTAGGCAGCAAGCTAGCACAGGAGAGAGCCCAGCAAAGGCCAATCAGTTTTCCTTGCTGCATTAGGATGAATTTACATATTACGGATGAGTCAAATCAACGTTTTACTGCCCTAGGAGGAAGAAGAGGAGAGAACTCATCTGCTCTTTTCCCCTTTTCATGGTCTTACTCTCCTCCCTGTAACAGCTCTGACACCCTTTCCTAATTGAACTTTAACCCTGCAAAAGAAAATACGACTTTTGACCGAGGTAAGAGTCGTGAATGTGGTCAGTATAGACGATCATAAGGCAGAGAAAGAAAGCACAAAGCCCAGAGGGAGAGCATGGCCTCCCCGTCATGGCAATGGCAAGCTAAATAGATAGGCTCTAATTATCATGCACAAATTGGCATTTAGCTTTCCCGATCTGCTGGAAGTGGAGACAGCTTCAGGCACAACACAGCTCCTGCCTAAGATAGGGTTCAGCAAACCAGAAATCGCACAACTCAGGAACCCGTGAGCCACAAAACGTCGGTTGGATTGAGAAAGTTTCCCTAAGTCAGGGAAAGGAATGATATCCCGAGGCAAACTGCTTCAAAGGCCGCTTTACCACCTTGGCTCAGGAGAGATTAAAAAGAAGGCATGAGCTCCCAAAAGCATACAGGGACTCAAAAAATGAAAAAAAAAAAAAAGAAGAAAAAAAAAAAGATCAGAAAATGGAGGTTATAAATGCAGATCCAGGTCCCAGCCAGAGGCATTGAACCCTGAGCACACTTGGAAACCCCTAAGGAGCATCCCTGCCTAGACCCTGTACAGGCTGGAAGGACCAAGATCACCAAGAGCCAAAATACCACGCTCTAGAGGAGTCTAGACAGAAGTGCCATTAGATTAGTGACATTTATGGCTGTGGTATATTATAGGATGCATCAAAATTGTGCATTTCCTTGTATGTATGGGGGGAGGGTACGAACGGGTTCTTGCAGCGCAGGAGACATTTAAGTAATGGTCAGTTGAAGCCTCTAGTTTGTACTCCAACACACAGAGGCATGAGAAAGAGAAGTCCTACCTACCGTGCAGCAATAGCATTCAAGTGTTTTATACGTGATGAACTTGATACGTAGCAGCTGGACTTCAAAACGCTTGTAAATAACTAAGAAAAACCAAGGTACCACATGAAAATGAAGTTCTATAGCCTTCAAAAGGCTTGTAAATAAGTAAGGAAAATCAAGGTACTACATGAAAATGAAGTTACATGAATGGCTGAATCATCCAACTGTTATAAAAGGCAAGAAGCATTAAAATTAGAGGTGTAAAAGTACATTGTAAGAAGTTAGAGGAACTGCCAGCAGGCTCCTGCTGCACAGCTTCAGGTTTAAAAGCATTAATTACTAGAACTCGAATACCGCAACCTCTTCAACCCAGCATACGACAAAAGGAGGAAAGCGATTACTAGGTGTGAGTTTAAGCTGGTTAACTCACTTATACGCTCTTTGGCCCTATGCTTGCTTAACTGGTTTGCTTTTAATTATAGGAGCTGCCATGCAATAATTTGAAGCTCTAAATCAGAGACTATTTAAGACTGGCTTTAAAATCTACAGAACAAGTTCATCTGGTTTGGGCAACGCACCTATTCATCTCTTCACGCTAACGCTCTAAGAGATGACACTTCTGCCAGTGCCTTTCCCTTTCCATCACACTGGGTGTTTTTCAGCAGGTCACAGCTATGTTTTATTGTTTTCAGCTCAGAGACACCACGATACAGTCGTTGAGCACCCAAAATGACGATTGACTCCCATTTGAGTATATACGGAAATCTAAATCTTATCTTGTGAAACAGCCCCAGCATCTGCATTGTGTTTTCTTATCAATATTATTTCCTTGTTTTCTGTATGGAAAAAAAACTTACACAACACCAACAAATTCAACACATTCAGAACAAACAATAGCAGTACAAGGCTAATCCTCCTCTAGCTTAGACTGGTGCCAATTTAGAACCACCACACAATTTGATTATTGTGGTTTTGTACTAGATATAATTCAAAGCAGAACATAAATCACCACTCCGAGTGATTCTAGTCAAAAGGGGCTAAAAAAAAAAATACCAAAATAATGCTACTGCAACAGTCCTCATTGCAATTAGACTTCCTTTTTAGGTCATTTTCTTTAGTTAACACCACAAAAAGTACATTTAAACCAAGTGTCACATTTAGTAGATTATAACCACTTTTGCGCACCCAACAGACAGGTCTTCAGAGATGAGGAAGAAGATGATTTCAGTAACAATACATTTTGTTGTAGAGGATCTGGTGAATCTGACCATCCTGCGCTAAAAACCCTTAAAAGCAATCCAGAAAATCCACAGCATTTCTGGCTTTGATACGAGAAATATGCAGTCCCGGAGCAAAGCCAGTGACAGCTGTGACCCAGCAATTCCGGCTTGGTGAGACTTTTTTATGAGGACAACTCAGGTGAATCCTACAGATTTCATTTTCCTGCCTGGGCCAAAGTGTAATCCTGTACGGAAACCATCTATCAAATCTCTAAGCATTACATGTAAGCACACACATGCGGGCATTTTATTCAAAGAATTATTTGTGTGGCCACACAAAACGAGACCTAGGGAATGATCTTGTCAAACACACAAGAATGCCCACAGGCTTCTGCGGCTCATTTTTTCTGTACCGGATCTGTGAAGTCATTTGATATGAACACAGCCACACACACAGCTAAAGAGGGGGAAATGGGGGGGGAAGCCTCCCACGGAGCCAGAAACCTCCTAAATTAGAATAGCAACTTAAAGCCATAACAGAGGAGGCCATAGTCTAACGCATACTAAATCTGTACATGAGGAAACAGCCCCAAGCTTAAGTCAAACACTCCAGGGCAAGGCAACAAGGGCTTGTTGCACAACTTCTTCAAAGCCCTAAAAAAAAGCTAAACTTCCCTCTGAGATATTAACACTATTTGTGATTACGAATACGTCAGTGCTCAACAATTCCTGCAGTTGCAGCCTGACAATCATGAGGTGTAGCCAGGTCAGCACTTCTTAGCCCTGAAAGAGCACCATCTATTTTCACAAGGCTATCATGCACCAACAGTTGAGTAAGTGAACAGTAAAGACTTCAGGTCACATGAGTTGAAAGAAAGATTTAATACCCAGTACTAATTCTAGATGTTCAATTAGGACCAAAAAGGTCCAACTTTCAGAAGGTGCTTAAAAATAAGACTCTTTGAGATAGATGTAAACGCATTCCAGAACTAGGAAGATGCTTTTCAAGCACTGGTTTTACCCTTTCTGTGCCAAGAGCCTAGCTGTGAAAGTCTACCCTAAGGCACAGAGCAAGAACAAGCTAGGATTTCAAGAAGCTTTGATATGGTTGCAAGTTTATCTCATGCTATTACATTATTTGTATATACCCAGGCACAATGGGGCTCCTGGCATTACTGGTTTTATATACGAGGCTAATCTCTCCACACAATTCTGGCAGGTATTACATGTGCTGAGGCGCTTCCTGGTTCATGGGGAGAAAGAGCACCTATTTGATTTTTACCAACTTCTGGAAGTCCATCTGCAAAACTGCAGTTTAAAAATCTTTCTTGATCACCACTCATCAGTCCCATGAATCACTGTAACACTCATCTGAATAAAATCTCTGGGAAGTTTTGCGATGACACTAACATTGCAGCAATTTGCTTGCCCCAAGACTGGGCACTCCTAACAACTGCAGATCATCACGCTCCACATTTCACTAGGTGGTAGTATATCGGAAAAGAGTCACTCCACACCTCAAATTACTTACCAGAGATGAAAAGCAGCAATTACCTGGCTATTGCAGTGGGTTACCTGATTAGCTGGATGGCTTTCAAGAATAATATTTTAAGTCAGACCTCCTAGAATCTCAAAATAGCAAAGTACAGCATTACAACTTAAAGACTTCAGATTGTAGCACGGTCACTGAAATCTGTTTCTTCAGACAAAAGACAAAGCAGAATCTTAAGAGCAATATAACCAATGGTTTCAAAATTGAAATAAGCCATTCCAGAACCTTTCATAGCCTACTATGGGCTGTAACACACAGCAATTTCTTTCAGCACTCCTATCAGAAGCAGCTCCACAAACACTACAACTAGGAAGTACGTTCCTGATAAACATGTTTCCCGACAGCAATATTTAAAAAGAAGTTTTACCTG